TCACTCCCCAGTTATATCTTATTTTTCAGGTCAGCAGGTCGGGCCGGGAGTGTGACTTGACGGGAGCAGATCGGGACTTTCAGGACATTTATATATATGTTTTGGACTGTATAACTAAGATTTACGCTTCCGCTTACTTTTGACGATATTTGATGGTTTTGTCGAATTTATCGAATTTTGACGAACTTTTCAGATAACACAGTTTTTCAGTAACCGGACGTTTTTAATAAGTTAAAACAACGGTTTTTCTAAAAGTTAAATAAAGATTTTCACGGTAGCACCCCAAATCAGTTTCGCAAAGTAAAAATGTTTTAGTTTTCAAAGACTTTGCGATTAAATGCGCTACTCTGATTTGTTTAGTAAGGTGGGGTGTTACATGAGCCTCTTGGGTCAGGAGTGACCAATCAGCCTCAATACTGTGGATGTGGGACTTAGCACGCTTCTGCCTAACGAAACCCTGGAAGAACCTAGTATTCCAATCGCCCTCGGCCACCCAGCGAACGGCCGCCTTCTGCTTCCAGAAATCCTCCTCCATAAAGAGTCAGAGCTGGTACTCTGCATGGCAGCGGCGCATCGCAGTCCTATTCTCTAGAGTGGGGTCCAGATCATAGGCCCGCTCAGCCTCCGCATGCGCACTCTGAGCCGCAGAAAGGCGCTGATGGAGGTTTCCAAAAACATCCCAGTTCCACTGTCTCAACCTACGCCGTAGTCTGCCGAGCTTCGCCTCGAGATTGCACATCCCGAAAGCCCAGTCGGCTGAAGCCAGGAGTCCCTAATAGTGTCTTGGAAGGAGTGGTGGCGAACCCACATGTTCTGAAACCTAAAAGATGAACGGCGAGGGGTGCTCGAAAATCGACACCTAATGAGGAGGGGTGAATAGTCAGACCCAAATCGAGTAAGGTGTGAGACGACCGTAACCACAAACACCTTCAACCACTCAGAAACCAAAGCACGGTCGAGCCTCTCTTTCAGATCGTCCCTAACCCACATAAAGGGCTCACCCTCATATCCAGCGTCAATCAACTCACAGTCCGCCACAGCCTGAGAAAAGTCCCACATCTCCCTAGAATGATCCAAAAGGCCACCCACACGCTCATCGGGATGCAGAAAGATGTTGAAATCGCCACTAACCATCCATGGCAATCCCCCCATGCTCTCAGCAATCTCACGCAGGGTGTCCCAGAGATCATATCTCCCGACCCTATTACAATTGGCATAAACCAAGGTATGAAATATGGGCTCGGGGAGGTGGGCCGCAGAAAGTTCGACATGAACTACCTGGTTGGTATCCCGGAGGACCCGACAGGTGTAATCACGCGAATGGAAGAACCAGATCTTATGTGAAGTGTTACCCACGCCCGAGTGGAAGCCAAGGCGTCGTGAGTAATAGTCAAAATCAGGGTGCAAATCATCGGCTCTAAAAAGCCAACGAAGTCCAATCTATGATCACGTATGAGAGAGTGGAGATGAGCGAGAGTGGCCCTATTAGTCAGGCCCTGGCCATTCCAGGTAATAGATGTAATAGACATATCAACAGTTGTGAGAGCCACCAGACGTGATCCGACTGTGGCGATGTTGGGTCGAGCCACCTGAAGGAGGGGGGAGGTGGCGAAAGGATCGAAGGGCAGGGGAGACTGTCCGTCGTGTCACGTGCGGTGTGGGTCTATTCTTCGAGGGGGGACGCCCTTGGTAAGTGCTCGTAGCCTGTGAGTCATCGGGCTGAGCAATAAGACCCAAAGCGGTGCTAGGACCCTGCCCCATCTCTGGGGCCGTTTCTTGTCTGTCAAAGTGGACGAATGCGCTAGAGGCAAAACTCTCGCACGAGACATCATGCTGAGCGCGGTTAAGACCGCATGCCTGCTCCAGGATGGGAGGGAGAGAGGCTCCATTCGGCGGAGCACTCGGGTGCTTACCGAGATAGTGAGGCTGGAGAATAGCTATATGCTCAGCCGAGCTCCCAAGCTCAGCAGATAGGAGATGTGTCGGCTTTTCCCCTTTTGGGGGAGCGGTGGCGGGAGCTGTCCTCATCTCTAGGGAGCGGTCCTGGCTAGATGAATGGACAGATAAAGGAGCAGCACCTCGAGTGCTGTCATCAGCTAAGTGAATGGACGTACCACTGGTCGAGGCGTCCGACTGCTCCAGATCCTCAACTAAGAGGTCATCATCGTCTAAAGGAAGATCTAAGGACCTATGGGGATCACTAGTAAAGGGCTCAGCCTCATCCTCTGCCTCAGGGGAGAGGACAGCAAAGACAGAGTGATTGGCCTTAAAGGCCGACTGAAGGGTGTGTCTGGGAATGAAGCCCGAGGTCTTGGCCTTGGGCCCAACAGAAGCCAACTGTTTAGGCTGGTTAGGATGAACATCCTTTCCAGTTTGGGCAGTGGAGACCATCACATCCTTGCCCTTATCCTTGACCCCCTTTGGGGATCCGGGCGCATGGATAGGGCCTTTGCCCTTTCCCTTCGGTTCCCTCCGGCCATTGGAGGGTCCCGACTGAGTCGCCCGATGGCGCGGAGACAGAGTGGGACGTGGCTTTTTGCCACTAATGTAGCAATCAGCCGCTATATGCCCCACATGGCTGCAAGAGGTACAGAACGCGAGGATCTTCTCGTAGATCACCCGCTGAGCAAAAGTCTCCGAACCCTACTCAATCTAAATATCATGAATGGGATCAACCCTGAGATTGATCTCAACACAAAACCGAGCCACATTAGCCCTCTACTGGAGGGCTGTCGGGGCATCAATGCGGACCGGTTTTCCGACACACTTTGCAAGTGTGGTGATAGAATCTCGATGATAAAGGTGTGGTGGAAGGCCGGGGAGGCGGCACCACACGGGGACGACAGGCGTCTCCGTCTTCGGGTTAAACCCAGAAGTGTACTTGAACACCCTAACTGGGCATCGGCACACAGAAATGGAGGTCTTAAGCCAAGTCTCATTATAATCCTTAGGAAGGTCGAAGGTGACTCGGAGATGGTTGAAATTATACCACTTAAATGAAAATCTACCCTTAAACCCCAACTTACCTATTCTAGCAGATATAACTCGGGGGGGATGTCATAAGAGAACTTAAATACCAAGGTGTTAGCTAACTTACTGGCAAGGGTGTCAGCTTCGGCCTGCGAGAATCGAGCCTTCACCTTGTTCCTGCGAGAATCGATCCTTCACCTTGTTTCCCTCCGAGCGGATGATGGAGCCACAGACATGCTCGTATTCCCCATCAAGGGTGAACTCCTTGGGTGTCGGTCGTGTGGCCTTCGGGCTACCATCTCTCTTCCCCGTAATAATCTTCCGGAAGGAGAGCGAGCCTAAAGAAGTTCCCGGCAAAGTTCCGGCTACAGTAGGATTGGTCGTGAAATCACGCGCCGGTGGAGTCACTTTCGGGGAGTGTCCGAGATGGTGGGTTGCGGACACCGCATTTGGAGCCAAAACAATCACTTCGTCTTCACGAACATACAAGACTACCGGGTCTGGATTTCCGGCAGCAATTGGGTCTGCTCCGGCGAGGTGGTCCGTCAAGGAAGAGTGGTTAGGCCGGGGGCCGGAAGTTCCGAATTTAGGAAAATTCGGCCAAGCCTCAGGAAGAGCTCCGGCCAGTTGATTAATTCCGGCAGTCGAGACAGTGCCGGCGCCGGCGGAAGGCTGGTCGGCGTTAGCTAGGTGAAAGGCCGTCGGTGAGGAGGGAGCTGTTGCAGGTTGGATTACAAGTTGGGAGGAAAACTGTGTGATGGTGGGCTGGGAAACGGGAATAGGATTTGGTTGGGTGAGGTGAGGTATTGATTGTGCTGGGAGGTTGGTTTGGGCTAGGAAAACTGTTTGGGGTATTAGGCCCGAGGAGATTGCAGGCCCGAGAGAGAGAGTGGGTTGTGTGGGTTGGTCATATTGTTGAAGGGGGGAGCAGATATGTTAAGCCGAAAGATTAGGCCCAGGAGATTTTAGGCCCACTACATTTTCCCTTAGCTCAGAGCTGGCCAAATGGCGAAACCCTACTTGGGAGTAATGTTGACTAGTTAGCGGCAAGGAGGGGGCTGCGACCACCATCTTCTCCGGCAAGGTAAATTCCATCGACGGACCGTGAGACCCAAAGACAAGGGACGGAGTCTTTTCATCTGCCGAGGACCCGAGATTATCGGACGGAGTACTTGTCGCTGTCGCAGGCCCGAGGAGGAGCGATGATCGATTCGCAGCGGCCGACAAATTTATCCTTTCTGCACTGTTGTTTTTACTGTTAACAAGAAAAGCTGAAAGAGCATCTTGAACTTCTTGTTGAGACAAGAATAAATCTAGCATCGTTGAATGGGTTGAGGGTGAGATTATGTTATTAGATGAAAAAGTTGTTGTGCAATCCATGGCTATCTGGTAGAGGATCAGAAAACTAGGACAGGCCCGGCGGTCGTGGTGGCCGTCGGTGGTGGTGGACAGTGGGGGAGGCTAAACGGGCGGGGGGCGGAGAGAGGGGGCAGAGGGGATGGGTGATGGGGAAGGGTTTCTAGAGAGAGAAATCTAGAGAGAAGGGAGAGCATTTTTTTTGCTAGGTTAGTTTTGTATAGTGTTGCTTATGTTGGTGCTAGGTTAGTTATATATCTCTGCTAGGTTAGTATTATCATGTTGCAATGTTAGTTGTATGGTGTTGCAATGTTAGCTTTATGTTGGTGCTAGGTTAGTTATATATCTCTGCTAGGTTAGTTTCATCATGTTGCAATGTTAGTTGTATGGTGTTGCTATGTTAGTTGTCTGTTGGT